TTAAATATGATTGTGTAGAACTCCGAAATTAATTCAGAATCTTCTCTTTCTAACTTAGTATATTTTTAAGGTAGTTAATAGGATATTTTTAAGGCAGCCAGTTGGGATGTATGGTCATCCTGGGAAAAGGGAAAAGGAATTAGATATTGCTGAATTCAGATTGGATTCACTAGTTATGAGATCTAGAACAAATTACATATATAACCTTTTGGCACTAATTTCCTTATCTATAAAAGGGGAAAAGTAACACAATATCAACCTCATGATGTAGTGTAAGAAGTAAATGAAATAGAGTATATGAAAAGCTTAACAGAGTGACTAGTCTATCAGAAATATTCAATATATGGTAGCTATAAAAATAATCTTATGTAATAAACTAAGTGAATGCAATAAATACGTCAATCTAGACATTATATAACCCAAACACTCCTGCACAACAGAATGTATTTTATCAGGTTACTAAGGATTTGTTGTCCTGATATACTTTTTTCTAGCATCTGTCGTTCAGGTATCTATTCCTTCAGAGTTAGAGCATATTTCTGAATCAGAATTGAATAGCCACTTAAGAAATACCAGAGTTAGCCACAGGGTGTGAATTCAGTATTTATCTCTCTGGCATTGATAGTGTTTGCTTTTGGTTTTATAGGTACAAGAGCATTTTTATATTCTTAGAAAAAGCTGGCTAATGTGAAGAACTCTTTAGTCCAAAAAATCATCAGCAAATTTTCCATTCCCACCATTAATAACACTTCTGTTAGGCCTCTTCAAAAGGAAACCTGGTATTTGTTTGCTTTTCTTTTTATTATGGAAAATTTCAAAACTAAGCAAAAGTAGACAGCGCAGTATAATGACCCTCACGTATTTATCAACTCATAGCCAGTCTCTTTTCATCTGTATTCCTACTCTCCCTTCTACATTATTCTGCAGTAAATTCCAGGCATGTTATTTCATCTGTAAATAATTAAATTAATATTTCTAAAAAATAAAGGCTCTTTAACCACATCATCAGCACAATTAATAATCGGTACATAGAATTGTCAGATATCTGGTGTTCAAAATTTTCAGTTGCCTATAAATGACATAAACATTTGTTATTGTTCTTTTCTCAGATTGCTCTTTTGAACCAGAATGCAAATAAGTGCACACTTTATAATTGGCTGATATGCCTCTTACGTTTCTTTCAACCTCTAGATTTCTCCTTCAGCTCTATTTTTGCCTTGCAATTCATTTGTTGAAGAAATTGGATCCTGCATACTTTCCCCACAGTTTGAATTTTGCTGATTGAATCCATGAGGTGTCATTTCACATGTTCTTTACCATATTCTTCTGTTCTCTGAATTTCCTGTAATTTGGTAAATTCCATCTAGACGCTTGACCAAATTTAGGTTCTACTCTGTTGACAAGATATCTTCACAGGTAATATACTAATATTCTTCCATTAGGATACACAGAAAGTATGCTTGTGTCTCTTGTTATACTAGCAGCCAATGATGTTCAATACTCAGATTCACTAATCTATTAGGAGTTGCAAAAATCGTGATATTATAATAATAATACAACCATTTCTATAATTTTTAAAATATATTTTATTGATTTTTTTATAGAAAGGAAGGGAGAGGAATAGAGAACTAGAAACATCAATGAGAGAGAAACATCGACCAGCTGCCTCTTGCACACCCCCTACCGGGGATGTTCCCGCAACCAAGATACATGCCCTTGGCCAGAATTGAACCTGGAACCTTTCAGTTCACAGACCGACACTCTATCCGTTGAGCCAAACCGGTTTCAGCTCTATTCCAATTTTTAAAATAAAATAATCTTAAGAAGAAATTTTCCCTCATCTACAATTTGGAAACCTGGTTTTTAGTGGTGTTACTTTATCTAGGAGGGAAACATTAATTAACACATTAGAAGTGGTTAATTTATCTGATAAAAAGGTATGAATTATTTTCCTTACGGCTCTAGAAACCCTCACATTGAGGGAAAAGGAGACTACAAGTACACTGAGGGAGAGGCGGTAAATGGTGATTAGAAACTTGAGATATCTGGGGAGAGAAGTAAAGCAAGAAGAAACACAGGTGCATAAAGGTAACATTTTGCTAAGTCTATTTTTATTTGGCATAAAGATTTTGATTTGGAAGCCCAAATTATGGCTTCAAATACTTTTACTTACTGAGGACTTCTGCATTCATACTCTAGTATCAAAACTTCTCAGGCTTTGCGTAGTATCAAAACTCTACCTGACATCACTACTTTGATGTCTAAAAAAAGTCTTGCCTTAGCTGGTTTGGCTCAGTGGATAGAGAGTCGGCATGTGGCCTGAAAAGTCTCAGGTTTGATTCTGGTCAAGGGCATATAAACAAAATAAGATTTTGATTTGGAGAATAATTTCTTGAAATTGAAATTTTAGGGAGTGGTATGAAATACATAATGGGGCAAAAGGAAGTTTACAGTTGTATGTGAAAAGAGTCTATTCTTATAAATCTACATTTGCCACACCCTCTATGAATTGGTAAAGAAATTGGAATTATAAATGTGTATTTAAAAATATACTCTCGTTTTGATTATAGATTTTTCAATGTTTTTTCAGTGCTAAATAATTTTAAGTGAACAGCTATTATTTGATTTGAATAACTAATCTCTGGAATTATATTCCGTATTATTAACATGACAGCTCTCTCATTTTTAGGTCCAATATATTTAAATTACATGAGCTATTAATTTTAGGCAACTCTCTTAATTGAAGAACTCATCAGCTATCTTTGCAGCTTCCTCTACCACTCATTGCCCTGATAGTGTCATATAATTCATCTAAATTGTGTTAAACCAAAAGCAAGGCTACATAAGCCACCTTACCAAATCAGAGAGCGGATAGGAACTGTCTGCCAACAATCTGAAGGATGTCCCTAGCATGACAGACTTTTAGAACTGGACAATATCTTAAAGATCATGTAATAATTCAAGGCCCTCATTTTAAAAGGTGTGACACTGCTGTTCTAATAGGTTAACTGGCTTATCCTTCCCAAACATAATTTCCTAATATGGTATCTCGTTTTATTTTCAGTAGTCTTAAGTAAGTTAGTAGCACATCAAGATCTGGAAATACATTTATATTATATTACGATGAATCCTCCTCTTGCCATCTTTCCTGCATCTTTTGAGCCTTTAGGTCTTCTCAAATTATTCTAGGGACCTCTGCTGTTCCTGTGCTAGTGTCAAGATTTCAATTATTATTCTATTTTATTTTATTTATTTTTTAAAATATATTTTATTGATTTTGTACAGAGAGGAAGGGAGAGAGATAGAGAGTTAGAAACATCGATGAGAGTCATCGATCAGTTGCCTCTTGCACACCCCCTACTGGGGATATGCCCGCAACCAAGGTACATGCCCTTGACCGGAATCTAACCCGGGTCCTTCAGTCCCCAAGCCGACGCTCTATCCATTGAGCTAAACCGGTCCCTATTATTCTATTTTAAAACGTAGTTTGATTTAGCAAAATACTAAGCTAATAGTGAATACACTCAATTGTACATATTTCATATTGGCACCTCTTTCAAGCCTATTAGCCTATGGGTTAATAGCTGCGCATAAGTTTTGTTCAGATTCTTTGAAAATTTACTTGTGGATTTGATGGGTGTTGCACAGAGAAGATGACCATCTCTTATGTAAAGTAAATGGGTACCCATTGATAATGGTGTCGCAGGTGGGTCATCAGTGGCAACTGATGATTAAGCATTTATGGGGCCTAAGTCTATTATAACCACTGGGCATCCTGATGCACAAACTATTGTAGAATTTAGAAAGGATTCAGCTCCTCTTCTAGAGGGACCTGCATTTTACATAGTTAAAGGGGTCTAAGGCAAGACTTTATAAACTATCAAGAATGCTCCCCATAGTTGGAATATGTTACCACAGCAGTTTTCCCACTTTCCCAGCTGCTGATGAAAGCCTAGCTTGCCCATTCAGACAGTGATGGATCCTGACCAGGGTTTTAAAATATGCCCATAAAACACCAGGGGCCTTGAAAACCCAGTCAGATTCTTCTCTCTCTCTCTTAAAATAAATTATCTCTCTCTCTCTCTCTTAAAATAAATTATCTGTGTACATATCTTACCATTGTCCTCCCACCTCCCATACATGCCCTCCCTCCCCAGAGTTTTGTGTCCATTGGTTGTACTTATATGCATGCATACAAGTCCTTCATTTGATCTCTTATCTCCCCCAGATCTCCCTACCCTCCCCGCTGTAATTTGACAGTCTGCTTGTTGCTTTACTATCTTTTGGTCCATCAGTTTATAATGTTCTTTATTATCCATAAATGAATGAGGTCATGTGGTGTTTCTCTTTCGTTGACTGGCTTATTTCACTCAGCACGATGACCTCCAATTCCATCCAGGTTTCTGCAAATGCTTCCCTCTCTTCTGGCAGAACCACTCTCAAATCATTCTCCCCGGATGAAATTCCCTCCAGTTTTTGTGTAATGGTAGGTAAACTCCATAACCTTTCATCATCGTTGGTTGCTGGCATTGCCAGTGGGCAAAACTCTGATGGCACGTCCATCCCTCAGAGCAGGGCCCTGACACCCCGGGGTTCAAGCCCACTTCCTCCGTGAAGAGGAAAGGCCGCGAAGCACCTGGAAACCCCTCTGCCACCACCCACCACGCCAGCGGCCAGGCCTCCATCCGCAGGGGCCTCTTAGGCATCCTCGCGGGGCGGCACAGGCGACCGGCACCGCAGCACCCGGAGCCACAATCCGGGGGCCCGAGTGGGCGCGCGCCGCTCTCGCGAGAGTTCGCGGGCTGGGGGCCGGCGAGGAGGCGGCGGCGGCGGCGAGGGGCGGCACTGCGGCGGCCCCGGTGGCAGTCGGGGCCAGGCGAGCGCCCTTTCCCCGCCTCCCTTTCCTTCCCCTCCCACGGAGCGACTCCGGCCGAGCGCTTCCCACTTCCGGCCGCTCTGCGAGCCATTGGAACGCGACGAGCCGAGCAAGTTGTGCCGCGGAGCCGCCGGCGCAAACCCGCACCGACTCTCCTCGCCTTTGCTCCTCCTCCCGGGCCGCCGCCGCCAACGGCCCGAGGCCTTGCGACCAGCGACCCGCAGCCCGCGCCGCGGCCGACATGAGCTTCTTGTTGTGAGTAGCCAGGCCCCCCCGCGCGCTGGCTTTGTTCAGGCTTCCCGGGCCGCCGCCGGGTCCCGCCGGGTCCCGCCGGGTCCCGCCGGGTCCCGCCGGGTCCCGCCGGGTCCCGCCCGGTCCCGCCCGGTCCGGCCGCCTGGCCGCGCGCTCCCGGGCCCCCGGGAACCTGCCGCCGCTGCCTCCCCGGCCCGCCCGGAGCACGCGGCGGGGGGGAGGGGACCCCCAAGTCCCGACACCCCTGGGGCCTGCGTTCGCCTTTCTCCATCGCCCAGCCTCGCCCTCGCGGGGGTTTGTTGATCTGCTCGCTCTGAAGAAACACCTCCCACTCCGCGTGACCCATTTCCGACGCGTGCCGCCGCCTGCTTCAGCCTCCCGCCCATCGCCTTTCTTCTGTGTCCCAAGCACAGAAGACGGAGCGCCGTTCTTCTCCCCAGCTCCCCCCAGCCCCGGGAAACCCCAGGACCCTTTACCAGTCAACTTCCCTCTTAGGTTTTTAGGAAGTTGCGGTGACCAGGCCTGTGGATGTTAACACTCTTACACGAAGGCTGTGTACAGGTCCGGACGCCCTGGTGACAGCCTGATGGGAGCCTTGGGGTCTGGAGCAGCTTCTTGCTTCAAAGTCACATGCTTTCCTGAAGAATACGGGCTTTATCTTTTCCGACAACCACCCACCGGGGCTTGGGCAGTGTGCCCTAGGTTGATTAGGTCCCCTGGGGACTTGTTTTTGCAAATCATCTGTTAAGTGACAGCTTAGTTTAAGTACTGGCTGTCTTTTCCCTTTCTTACTACAAGGCATGTTGGGGGCGGGGTGTGGGGAGGAAGATGGGATGGCCAGATAGGGGGTCTGGAGGCAGCAGACAAGCCTCACGTCCTGGGAAAACAGGACCTTGCACCCCACAGAAGGCTTCCATGTGATTCATCCATGTTTAATCTGTGGTGAGAAAGCTAATAAAAAGCCCGGAGGTGGAAACCCGTACTCTGCTGTTGTAGGGAAAATATCATTGATAATTTTCTGTTCCGATGCTCTTTCCCCACCTTACATAAGTTTTAGTCATCACCTTGGCACTTGAATCCTGAGAACTTAAACCTTATTTCCACATGCTCATATCTAGAGTAGTAATTCTTTGGAGGGCGTTTAAGCAAAATTGAGAGATCACAGAAGACAGACATTCTAACATGCATAAGGGGCCTGGGCTTTTGTCATCCCGCCTAACACATTTGAGATTGTGAAGCCTTTTTTTTTTTTTTGGTCTCATCCAAGAAGTTGAGTTTTTCAGATAAATGGTGATAGATAAGAGGACTGGGTGACTTTGGTCTTTGTTTTAGTTTGAGTCAACATATCCAGGCATCTCAGCTTGAAACTTCTCATCTTGAGTCTGTTTGATTGCTGATGTTTTATTTCTTCAAGAACTTAAGAGCTATCTTCAAAATAGTAATATAGGTGATGTCCATGACTGCTGCTGATGGGCTTATGTCTCTTGGAACTCACAGCTCAATTGGTTGAAGCAGGGAAGAACTATATTTGGCAGAAATTTGGGGATGGACAAGGTTTTGGTGGTATTTTCTGAATACAAATGTAATATTTTTTTACATGGCTCAGTATTTATTAGCAACAGAAATTCAGTGAATAAGTTCATTTCTCCTGAAACATATTAGCTGTTTACAAAAATCTTGCCATTGTATATATTCTCTCTCTCTCTCTCTCTCTCTCTCTCTCTCTCTCTCTCTCTCTCTCTCTCTCTCTCTTACACACACACACACACACACACAACATTAGAGGGTTTGTACTGTTTGAGGTACACTTTTTCAGTCAGGTCGCATATTATAGTTAATAGTAGTAGATTCTCAACATCTTTAGCCTGTTGAAATCTAAAAGAGTAATCCAACATTTTTTATTTTGTTTTTTGTCCACCATGACGTTTAAAATCTGAAGTGAAGACCTCGTAGATAAAAATTATTAGAATGTAAAGAACATGCCGAAACCGGTTTAGCTCAATGGATAGAGCGTCGGCTTGGGACTGAAGGGACCCTGGTTCGATTCCGGTCAAGGGCATGTACCTTGGTTGCGGGCATATCCCTGGTAGGGGGTGTGCAGGAGGCAGCTGATCGATGACTCTCTCTCATCGATGTTTCTAACTATCTCTCTCTCTGTTCCTCTCTGTACAAAATCAATAAAATATATTAAAAAAAATAATAGAATGTAAAGAACAAAGTTTTGGTTATTTTATCTGTTTGTTTTTTGGTATGGTTTTCTGAAAATTATTTCTATACCATCAGGTGAGCAAAGAAAGTAAGAGTTGCAATTTAGGAGTTAAATAGCAAATATTTTCTTCCAGTTCTTGGAAGCTTCCTCGTAAGGGGACTATAAATGGATGGAGCTCAGGAAATAAGGGCAATTCGAGATAGTGTTAGAAAGGCAATGACTCATAACTCACGAGGACTTTTAGATAGAAGGAAAGACAGTTAAAAAAACAGAAACAAAACATAATTTAGCCTGGCTGTTTTGGCTCAATGGTTGAGCGTCAACATATGAACTAGGAGGTCATGGTTCCCAGGTTGCAGGCTCCATCCCCAGTAAGGATTCTCTCTTCATCAGTGATGTTTTTATCTCTCCCTCTCTCTTCCTCTCCGAAATTAATAAAAAAAAATATATTTAAAGAAACATTAATTGTGTCAGGCTCTGATACAGGCATTGGGTATCATTTGTGGACAAATTGGATAAAAATTCCTCCATTGGTGGAGCTTACTTTAAGCAACCATATAGTATGGTAAGAGGTCTTAAAATGCATGGAACAAAGTATAACAGGGTGAAGAGGTTTTTTTTGATAGGAAGGTGAAGTAATCCTCAGAGGGTGTCCAGATAATCTGCATCAGGGACGCCTTTGTGTAGCTTTTGTACAAATTTGCAAATAAATTTGCACTGCATATGTAGATCTGACTGGGACAAAGCTGTGGCTGTGCTGCAAATTGGCTTCCATGCAGCTTCAGGTTGAGCTAAACTCCCAGATGGTGCCTAGGGAACCTTCACAGGAACCTAATTTAACTTTGTAGACTCAAATTTTTTTTAAAAAATATATTTTATTGATTTTGTACAGAGAGGAAGAGAGAGAGATAGAGAGTCAGAAACATCGATGAGAGAGAGTCATCGATCAGCCGCTTCTTGCACACCCCCTACTGGGGATATGCCCGCAACCAAGGTACATGCCCTTGACCAGAATCGAACCTGGGTCCCTTCAGTCCCCAAACCGATGCTCTATCCATTGAGCCAAACCAGTCTCGGCTAGACTCAAATTTTTAAACACAGGACCTGCTGTGTGCTCTAGGCATTGTGCAAGAAGTGAGACTTCACAGCTGGTAGACAGTTTATAAGTAGTCCTCTATAATAGATGTAATACAGTCAATGGGGGTCCAAAGAATATGGAGCAATTTGATTTGGGCTCGGGGAATGTTTCATGAAAAAAGGGATGGATATTTAATGGATGATATAACAAGAGTTCTCTAAAAGGGAAGAAGACATGGGAAAAAAGAGATTTCAGTCAGAGGAAACATGGAGGCCTGAAATTGCCTGTGAATTTTCAAATTTCAAGTTTGTCCAAGAGGCTGTTGAATTTTGAAGCTAAATGGGCTCTTTCAGTAACATAATTTACCTTTCCCCCCCCCCTGAAATGGTAAAATCACCAACTTCAGGTTACTGGCCTAATTATTGTCCATGATAGAATTGGAACACAGTCTCTTGACTTATGAGTTTTTCCTCCTCTGACATTTTAAGCATATAAAATTCAGGGAAACTTAGGATCAGAGTTAGTTTAAAAAAAAAAAATGATTTTTTACAGAGAGGAAGGGAGAGGGATAGAGAGTCAGAAACATCTATCAGCTGCCTTCTGCACACCCCCTACTGGGGATGTCCCCACAACTAAGGTACATGCCCTTGACTGGAATCGAACCTGGGACCCTTCAGTCCGCAGGCCTACGTTAAACCGGTTTCGGCCAGAGTGAGTTCTTTAACAGTTACTCAAAAAGGGTGTTGAGTGTTCTCTGTGTTTCTAGCATTTTTAAATTGCACCTATCTTCTGACTGATGGAATTCCACAGAAACATTTGACTTGGAACAGAGTTAAAGAACTAATACAGCTAACTTTTAAAATGCAAGTCTGTAGGAAAGATGGTTTAGGAATGAGAATAAATATAAATCGGGTTTAGTTCTGTATAGGAAGAAACAAAGAGATAGGCTGAGAAAGGAAGTATTTGTTGAACATTATGCTGCAGAGCTTCCATTTGTCTTTTCAACAGAATAGCAGTTTAGTAAAAGAGATCCAGGATTTCATTGAGTTTGTATGTGTCTGTCTCTTGCTTTTCTGTCTACTTGTCTCTCCTCCTACTCTCCTTCCCCCGGCATCTTTATTTTCTGGCAAATGATTTTAGTGCTTCAGTATCTTCACCTATGAAAAAAAAGATAATAATAAAATAGCTAGCTAAGTACTATATGTCAGGCATAGCAGATGAAGAAACTGGCAAAAAGAGGTTAAGTAATTTTCACAAAATTATGTAGTCAGTCAGTGGTATAACTGGGATTTGAATCCTGGCAAACTAGATCTGGAGATCTTGCAACATACTGCCTTATCTGTAATTGATAAAATTATATAAAAAGGTGGTATTCACCATCTTGTTTTTTAAGAGAAATCTTATGTTACTAGGTGTTAATATCTCAAATTGCTGGGATCATTTTGTAAGGGCCACCAAGAATATAATGGTGGAAGAGAAAATAGAAACCTTTGAATTTAAATAATACTTTTGAATTATTTTTTTTACTTCCATTTTTAGTGTAAAAATGATAAACATGGTGGAGAAATTATGCAATACTGCTAAGAAAATGAGGCAAATAGTCACTCATAAACACACCTTCAGGGATAATTGTTATTTGTGTTTTATGTCAATAGTAATTCTGCAACATCATTTTGAATGGCTGTCAACTAAGTTATTACCTTAACGGTTTTGTTA